TGCCTCTCTGCCTACTTGTGATCTCTGTCTGTCAAATAAATAAATAAATAGTCTTTTAAAAAAAAATCTCCATTTCAGTGGAGGTTCACAAGCTGTGCTCTCACATATGTGTACCATTTATGTATGCACATGGTCTCACCCTGAAGACTCCGGCATAACCAAACCCCTTCTCACTGGGCGGGCACCAGGACGCAGGCAGCCGCAGGCTCCCACCCCAAGTCAGAAGACCCTCCGGGGCATCACTGTCACGGTCTACAAACCCCAAAAGAAAATAAGCACTTGGTTAAAGAGACGAGCCTTCAAGTTCAAATCAAAACGATCCAGCGAGACGGCTGCCCACCTGTGGACCAACCTTGAAGCCCCGAAGGCTGGCTCCCGCACCGGCACGCTAGCTCAGTGGGCTGCAGGTGGGCAGCCCCCGTGCTCCGGACCCGCAGAGGGCTCCCCGCGCCACAACTCTGGAGCACAACGCGGTGCTCACACTCCCCGCGAGGACACATCCCAGTACTGCTCAGCAAAGCGGCAGCCACGGCGGCTCACGCACAGTCCACTGAGTTCTTCCCTGCGAGCCGGGCTTTGGGGTCCTGAGCCCGAGCCCTCACTGTGCTCGCCGTCGTCAGCGCCCGGAGGGCTGCCCGGCTCACGGGGCTTCCAGAAGCGCCTCATCCTCCCGTCCAGCCTGATAGGCTCACCGCGGGGCCTGCTCATCCCGCACCAACCCCCAACACCCCAGCTCTTCTGCAGGGCTTGCTCCAGGTGCGGCGTCCTGCCGGCTCTGCGGGGCCCCCCAGGGACCAGCTGCCCCGCAGCCCCCAACCTCCGTCTCTGCACCTGGAGGAACCGGGGGCGGCACTGGATGTCCGCGAGAGCCCTTCACAGACGTCATGAACTCGACGTTCTAGAAAATGCGGGCGCGAAGGAAGTGCTTTTCTTGGGGTGGGACGAGAAGCTGCCCAGCTCTGCAAAGCCGAGGTCGCGGGACCCTCCACCAGGATGACGATTCGAGCACAGATGAGCTGGGAATCACGGGCACAGCCCCCGGCACCACTCCACCTGCGGGCCCTTCCCACCGGGGCCCAGCTCTGGACACCCGGATTCGGCGGCCGCTCCTGTCACCAGCGCGTCCCACTCTCCTGGCCCAGACAAAGGACACCGCACGACCTCTCCTCTCGGCGGCCGGGGCTCCCACTAGGGCCCCTGTTCCTCATTCAGCCAGTGCTCCATCAAAGAGGGCCGCTGTCTCTGTCGGGTCCCCAGCTGCCGCCAACGGACAGCAGCATGGTGAGCCGGAACGGATCCCGCAGAACTCTGGTTGTACCTGAGGGAAGACATCTCTGGTCTGCGACTGAGCTCGAACTTTTGAGGAGATGATGGGGGCAGAGGGGGTGACAAGGGGGAAGCTCCGAGTGCAGGAACAGGGCCCAGTCCCAGCCCTACAAAGCTGTGGCGTCACTTTTCATTCAGGCTCTTTGCCCCCGAAACACAAATACCTAGCAAGACGCCTTTGCTTAAGAGACGGGATCCGTCCGCTGCGGCATCGGTGGCAAGGCAGCCGCCCGCAGAAGTGTGCACGGTCCCCAGGGCGTCACGCGCTGGGTGCCAGGCACCCTGTTCAGCCTTCACGTCTCCAGTCATTCACGGACCCGACCCGCGGCTCAGCCCAAACTCACAAGCTTCCACACTCCTTGGGCGAATCCGGCCGAGCCCTCCCGTGGTTCAGGACAGCGCCCGTGCGCAGACTACAGACGCCCCCGTCACACAGCCCACTCGGCAGCTCCTACCTCGGCCCCCGCGTGGACTCCCTAACCCTGAGAGAGCACACTTGCCCCCCTACGCAGGCAGGAGGCCCCGAGGGCATGTAGAGCCGGCTGGGAGCCTACAGAGACCACCTTCCCCGGAAGCTGTCCTGTGGGTCCAGCATGTTCTTAAAAATCACAGTAGGTCAAGATCCAACTTTACAAAAATTTAGGCATCAACATTTACTTTATAAAACCCACGCATTTTATTCTAGCTACAGAACTCCTGTTCTCAAACCTTTTAGGAACATAGGACATTAGGACAAGCATCTGGGTTCTTCCCGTATCAGCTGCTGAACCAGCAGCTACTGATCCGTCTCATCGGGGGCCTGGGGCCATCTTGGGATCGCGCACAAAGGGGGGCAGCCAGGGCCCAAGGAGGACAAGCAGAAGGAACGCGGGTCTGGTCACAACTTTACAGAGCTGTCACGCGTACAAACTGCTGGAACGCAGAAGTGAATTTCAACGGACACTTTCTTGGAAGCCACTAGGTTAAAATGCTCCTGGCCTTTTGCTTGGAAAAGTCACTTTTTTTAAAAAAGATTTTATTTATTTATGTGACAGAGAGAGATCACAAGTAGGCAGAGAGGCAGGCAGAGAGAGAGGAGGAAGCAGGCTCCCCGCTGAGCAGAGAGCCCGATGGATGCGGGGCTTGATCCCAGGACCCTGAGATCATGACCTGAGCCGAAGGCAGAGGCTTCACCCACTGAGCCGCCCTGGCACCCCATGGAAAAGTCACTCTTAAATGCCAACAGGCTCAGAATCACAAGGTGCAGACGCAGAGAAGGGCAGGGCCGGCAGTCCTGGGCTCAGAGCTGGCTCCCCGTGCGTCTGTACTGAGCCCCCAAACAATCTGCACTTACCACCTGACGCACTCCCTTGGAATGGGGCCCTTTCTCCTACAAATAGGATGAGAAGTTAAAACACTCTGCTAAGAGGTAATAGATACTCGGTGAAAACAAACTGACCTCCAAGGGGGTCACAATTCCTACTTCCACGCCAGCTCCAGGACCAGGCTGGAGGAAGAAACGACCACCACAGCAGGCAGAAGCCATCCTATGCGAGCCTACAACCTCATGTCCTTGTCTTTGCAACTCAGAATAATCTAACAGAAGCGGTTCGCAGTTGCCTTGGTAACCCAAGAGATTTAAGACATTAACAAAAGTACGCAGCCGAGATCACTTGTTGGATTCTAAAAACACCTTCTGCTTGACAACTGCATTTAAACCCTCAAACCCACAGGCCGGAGGAGCGAGCATTCTTCACTGTGCTGATGGGCCCTCAAACCGCACGGCCTCCAGCATCCCAGCCCACTGGGCGGCTGACGGCCACCAGGCAGGTGTCCCAGGACAGGACTGTGGCCCTGACCGCCCCAGAAGGTGCCACACAGAGCATCTATCCTTAAGTAATCTGCCAGGGGCTGCTGCCTCTCAGAGTTGAATCAGAGCTGGTGAGAGTGGAAACCGGGCCTGGGGCACACGGAGTGCACCCTCCTTGCCGACGGCTGGCAGAGAGACAGGCGGCTTTGCGATCAGCTCCACCGTCTCAGCTGGGCTAAACTCCAGGAGCTGTAGGGTGCTGCCCGTCAGCGACATTTGCAATGCCTGGACACCCTTTTGGTTGTCACCAAACTTGGAGACGAGTTGTTGCCAGTATCCGGTGGATGGGGGTCAGGGATGCCGCTTCCGTCCTAGAGTGCCCAGGACAGTCTGAGGTGGAAAACCTGAATAGACAAGGGTCTGGCCGTGTGCTCAGGGTCCGGGACACACAGGGACAGAGAGAATAACGCAGACTACGTGCATCTCGAGGAGGTACTGCTTAATGGGCACAGAGTCTCAGTTCGGGATGACGGAACCCTTTTGAAGATGAACAGTAATGACGGTTGCGTAACAATGTGCTTGTATTTAATGCCGATAAATTACACACTTGGAAAGGGTTAAAAAAGCAATGGTTATGACATACGCATCTCGCCACGATAATAAAAGCTAGCATATCGAAAGCAGGGAGCCGGAGCCCAGGCTCGTCCAGGGACCTCCCACCCGCCTGGCCATCAGAGGACAGGATGCTTAGTATCTGTGACATTTTTCAGGACCATTACCCCAGTTTGCTGCCTTCAGCTCTGTCCACTCCCACGTTCCAGACGATTTCCGGCCTTCCTGGAGGGCCCTCCCCAGGACAAGGACCTGCTGCGACGTCACCCACCCTGCTCTGAGCCAACTCTGTTCTACCGGACGCCCCTCCTCACCCCTCCGCACCTCACCGCACCAGGGGCTGGAGAGAACCGGCGCCCCCTTCTCCCTGGGGGCGGGGGGAGGGAGCAGCCGTCCTCATGAGCTCAGCACCAGGGAAGGCACCTGGTATTTCAGTAACTGTCTGGTTTGCTGCCCCCTCATCTGGGAGACAGACACAGAACTGTCGTCCAGACTGGGGACCAACCCAGCAAGGCTAAGCCTAGAGCCCACTGACCCTCACGGGGGGGCCGGACGCGGGGCCGAGGGGGGGGCTCATTGTTCGGTAATGTCCCGCAACAGCAAGACGACGACATGTCTGTTAGCCTGGACCACCGCAGCCGCCCTGGTTGGAAACAGGGAGACATCCTCACTGCGAGGAGTACTTTACTGCCAGAGGTCTTCGGGTGCCCCCCGGTCAAGCCAGGTTTTGGCAGGGGCGGAACACGGGCCTGTCACGGTTTGCTCAACGTCCCCAACTATGAGCAAGACCCACGGCTGCTGGACAGAAAACCAGATGGAGGCCGCGGACGGCGAGGGCCTGAGAGGTTCCACCTTCACGTCATCTCATCGGAAGCACTCTCCCACCTTTTAACATTTTAACGTTTAAATCTTTTAAGATGAAGGTCCCCTCCCCGGTATTTACGAAAGGCTCTCCTCTAAGAAGGAAAGTGGACCCTGCAAGCTGACCCCATGCCAGGCGTCACCCCCCTTTTCCAGCCGCTGACCCCTCAGCGTTGGAGAAGCCCCACCTCAGTGGGCCCCGTGGGCCTGGGACGCGGGCATCGTACGGCTGGGGTCCCCAAAGTCCGACTCCATGCACTTGGACACGTCTCCCGCGACCGGAGACGGTCCTGCAGGGAGGCACCGGGGGAGCGTGGGAGGTGCGGCTTCACCTACGGAACAAGCGACCAAGGGCCACTGGCGCACAGGGCGACGGGCTCTCGCTCCGGCCCAGAGAGAACGAAAGGCTTACTTGAGTCTCTGCTGCTGAACGGCCACCCGGGTGCCGGAAGGAAGGAGGCCACGGGGGAGCCGGCCCGGCTATCGTCCTCCACTTGCTGCGTGATGTGCCGGACCGTCTCCTTGTTTTTCCGATTCTTCCTCCGACCTGCGGGCTGCCAGCCGTCGCCTCCTGCCCGCTCGGAGAAAGGGTTCTGCGTCGTGCCATCCCTGGCAGAGGCAAGCTCGCTCCCTCCGTAGTGAGATGGCGAAACCTGCTCTTCCTTGACATGCAGAGGCCCGTAGCCCACGTCGCCCGGCCACAGCGAATGCGAGGCAATGTCATCAGGACCGTCGGCCTTGGGCTCCTGGTCCTCCTTCCCGTAGCTGCTGCCCCCCTCGTGGCAGCTGGCGATGGCCGAGTCTCCGGAGGAATTGGCGGGGCTCGTGCGCCGGGCCAGCCACGGCGAGATGCTCCTTCCAGCCATCACGGCCGAGATCAGCGCGTCCGTGCCGCTACCAGGGGGGGCGCTGATCTCGAACTCCGCAAGCTCATCTGAGGCATCTGGCTTGATGCTGATGTCCAGCGCGGCCTTGATGAAGTCGTGACAGGCCTGCACGATGTCCGTCATCTGCAGGAAGCTGGCCGCGGACATCACCTCGATGACATTCCTGCTGGTGAGGGCCAGGTGGGCTGAGTACATGAAGTCGATGATGGCCTTGAAGCCCTGGGCCGTGACGATGTCCAAGTGCGTGACCGTAGCCTGGTCCGACGTCTTCTGCACCTGGCAGTAAAGCGTCTTGAAGTAGCGGCTACTGCCGAGCAGGACGTTCTTGTGGGCCTTGAAGACCTTGCCCTCCACCACGACACACACGTCACACAGGACGCCATGCTGCCTCTGCTCGTTGAGCTCGCGGAGCAGGTGCCGGTAGTGGGACGCGATTTCCATGTCTTCCTTCCGGTTGTTCATCTGGAAGTCTTGGTGATGCTGTTCCGCAGACTCTGTGGGGGCAAGAACACACGAGTTAGCCATGCGCTCGACACCCACGCGCCTGTGGAGTTTCGGCACAGCACAGTGTCCCGGGGAGCCTGGCCGCAGGGTGGCCTCCGGGCAGGGGAACCTCAGCAGCCGTCCGCAGGGAGTTTCCGGGCTCGAGGCTGACCACCGGCACAGCCCAGGAGCAGAACCTTACACACAGCTCCCAAGGGCCAGTGCCAGTGAGCAGCTCAAGCGACTTTCTTCCCAGATGTGACATCCCAAGGGCGCCTCATCTGCATCCTTCAGGACACATCCTTAAAAATAAAACAGGGATGCCCGGGAGACTCAGGCGCCCGGCTGCGGCACCCTCCCGAAACCGGCTCCTAGTCTGTCTGCCACGTTCTCTCTGCGGCCACCGTTAGCTTCCGGAGGCTTCCAGAACTCAGGGCCCAGACCGGGAGGCCCAGAGAACTGGATTCTCGCACAGCCCAGAGGCCAGAGGTGTGGACCAGCTCCCACCAGGGCTCTGCGGGAGGGCGTGTCCAGACCTGTCCCCACTTCTGCTGGTGGCCGGCAGTCCTTGGCCATCCTTGGACGCATAAGCATCACCACCCAGTCTCTGCCTCTACATTCCCACCTTCTCCCTGTGAGCCCATGTTCCGTGTCCCCGTCTTGTAAGGACACAGGTCATATTGGACACCTTACTCCAGAACAACCTCATCTTAACCAATTACGTCCAAATTCAGTCACAGCCCAAGGCCCTGGGGGTGGAGGACACACTCATCCCTTCGCACTCTTGGAGAAAGACAAGGCTGTTTTCTCTTGAGAAAGAAAAGCAAAGCTGGAGGCCTCACAGTTCCAGACGTCAAGTTCTACTACAGAGCCACAGTCACCAAAACAGTACAAGACCGCCACAAAACAGACACACAGCTCAGTGAAACAGGACAGAGAGCCCAGAAATGAACCCACAATTATATGGTCAATTAATCTTCAACAAAGGAACAAGAAAGGCCGTCTCTCCAACCAGCGGCGCTGGGAAAACTGGACGGCCACATGCAGAAGAATGAAACTGGACCACTCTCTTACACCAGACACATAAATAAACTCAAAACAGACTGGGGACCTGAATGTGACACCTAAATGCATAAAAGTCCGAGAAGAGTGCATAGGCAGTAATGTCTCCGACATTGGTCGTAGTGACGTTTTTCTAGATGGGTCCCTTCAGGCAAGGGAGACAAAAGCAAAAATAAACTGCTGGGATTACATCAAAACAGAAAGCTTCTGCACAGCAAAGGAGACAACCGGCAAACTAAAAGAATGGGAGAAGATATTTGCAGTGCCTCATACCACAGAAGGTTAGTATCTAAATTACATAAAGAACTTACACAACTCAACACCCAAAACCCAAATAATCCTATTTAAAAGTGGGCAGAAGACACGGACAGATACTTCTCCGAAGAAGACATACCAATTGCCACAGACACGGGAAGACGCTCCACGTCACTCATCATCAGGGAAAGCAGCTCACAAGCAGGATAAGGTGCCGCCTCCCACCAGTCAGCAACACAAGAACCAACAGGTGTTGTCAAGGGTGCAGAGAAAAAGGAGCCTCGTGCACTGTAGGCAGGAATGCAAACTGGTTCAGCGGTTCTGGAAGATGGCACGGAGGCTCCTCAGAAGATAAAAAAACAGAGCGACTGTATGACCCAGCCAGTCCACTACTGGGTATCTACGCAAAGGACACAAAAACACTAATTTGAAAGGATACACGCACCCCTATGTTTACTGCAGCAACGTCCACAATAGCCAAGACTTGGAAGCCGCCCAAGTGTGCATAGACAGATAAACGGGTAAAGAAGGTGTGCCACACACACACACACACGGAGGAATGTTACTCAGCCAGAAAAATAATGAAATCTTGTTGTTCACAATGACAGGGACGGAGCTAGAGGGTATAACGTACGCCAAAGCAGTCAAAGAAAGACAAACACACATGGTTTCACTCATGTGGAATTTAAGAAACAAAACTGATGAACAAAGGGGAAAAAGGAGATACACCAAGAAACAAGATTTTTTTTTTTAAGATTGTACTTATTTATTTGACAGAGGGATAGAGAGATCACAAGTAGGCAGAGAGGCAGGCGGGGGGCGGTGGGGAAGCAGGCTTCCCGCTGAGCAGAGAGTCCGATGCGGGGCTTGATCCCAGGACTCTGGGATCACGACCTGAGCCGAAGGCAGAGGCGTAACCCACTGAGCCACCCAGGCGCCCCAAGAAACAGGATTCTTAGCTCTAGAGGACACACTGATGGTCAGCAGCAAGGAGGAGGGGAGGGTAGGTGGGACAGGATTAACGCACTTACGAAGATGAGCACTGGGTAAGGGACCAGCGCACTGCACGCCTGGCACCAACACAGCACTGTAGGTCAGCCGCACGGGAATGCGACCTTTCAACGGTTAAAAAAAAAAGTTACTAAAATTCTCATCACAAAATACATTTTGCACCTATGCATGGTGGGAGATGTGAACTAGAAATAAAAGGAAACGTAGACAGCCGTGTCACGAGCATACCAAAGGCACCGCAGGGCCTTAAAACAAACAGACCAGGCCTGCACCTGTCAAAGAGAATAAACACCAAACACGCTTCATGAAGACGTCATGCCGCAAAGGGCAACAGATGGTAGCACTGTTGAAATCACAAAAAGGACCGGCCCAGAACAACCCGACTTAATGTTCCTGAGGCCCAGCGGCCGCTTCCTGGGAGTGAGTCCACGGGCACGGCCCCCACCTGGAGTCAGCGGTGCTGGCTGGGGAACCGGCTCCACACCACTCGCTGTGTGACCTTGGGGCAGCTGCTTAACCTCTCTGCACCTCAAATTCCTCATGGGCAAAGTGGAAGTAGTGATCCCACTTACCTCCTGGTTATTACGAAGACTAAGCGAGTCGGCAGGTGCAGAGCCCTCGCGAGAGCGCCTGCGCAGACTCAGGGAGCGCGTCGGCCGTCCTCACTCGGATGAGCGGAGGAGGCCTCACCGCGCCCGGTGCTCGCGACAGTCACGAAGTGGGATGGATCTAGCAGGCCAGGCGGTAAGCGTGGGACGGGGGTACAACGCAGGGGATTTCGATTTTATCTGTAATACTTTCATCTCTAAAAAGGAACAGTAAAGGTCTGTAGCTTCTACTAAAACACAGTCTTGGCTACTTTGGGCTGTCGGGTTCGTGAACATACGCTGACTGCTGTGAGCAGGTAACCTCCACTATTCACCTAAAAACCGTTGTGTAGCTGCTGCTTTCACGGAAATGTTAACGTTCGTAGACTCTAATTTTTAGTTACCTTTATATTCTAGTGGAAATGACATTAAGATATATAAAAATTAGGGGCACTTGGGCGTGCAGTCGGTGAAGCATCTGCCTTCGGCTCAGGTCATGATCTCGGGGTCCTGGGATCGAGCCCCACATCGGGCTCTCCGCTCAGCAGGGAGTCTGCTTCTCCCTCTACCCCTCCCCCTGCTCGTGCTCTCTCTGTGTCAAATAAATAAAATCTTAAAAAATAAAAGGTCTCATTTCTTAAAAATAAACGGAATGAAATGAAGTGACATGAAATGCCCAGTGAGAAAACTGGTCATTCGGTTTCCCATTCCCAGGCTAGGAAGACAGGCTAGAGAGCGAAAGGCTCTCAGCCCTCATCTCCCTCAGCTGGCCGGGTCTGAGGTGCCTTCCCCACAACCCTCCTCACTCCTTCCTGCTGGAGGCACCTGCACTGGCAGAGCTGGTGCCCCAGGGACCCCAGCACCTGTTCCCTCGTCTCGGCCGGCCAAGCGCTGGGACGCAGCTCAGAACCCCGGGCCGCTGCCCCAGCCAGCCCCAGCATCGAAGGCCGGGAGTTAGCACGCTGCTTCCGCATGCTGCCTGTGGTCTCAGCAGCCGCACCTGTCCCCAACGAGGCCTGGCCACCAAGAAGGAGAAACAGAAGAAGGTCCAGAATGGGCTGGGGGAAGGTCACAGGCTCAGATGGCACCAGCAGCTCTCGACCTTGAGCCCCAGAGCCCCCGGAGGCGAGTCACAAACCAAGGTGTGGTCCCCACCCCACACTGTCTGAGTCTGCACAGAAGGGCGTGACAAGGACAGGGGTTCCGCTCAGGAGTGACTTCATTCCTCAAGCCCGACTTTGCAGACACAGAGTAACCACACGTCGAGGGAGGGTCTGAGAGGTGCTTCAAGTTGAGGAAAACCACCACGGAAACTACAGGCGCCAGTTTAATGCCTGGAGGCCACAGAAGTGGCACCTGGTTCCTGGCCATGTGATGGAAGCATCAACGGCCTCGGGGCCCTGCGTTCCAATCAGGGAGCAGTACGCGCCATCCCCTGGTTTCCCGTATGAATACTAAATCTCTACTCACCACGGAAACAGACCCTGTAAGGGTAGGGACGAACCATGGAAAGGAAACAAAACGCCGTTTTATACAAGGAACAACTACCTCACAGGATCTGCATTTCTTTTTTAAGATTTTATTTATTTATTTATTTGACACAGAGAGAAAGAGAGAGAGAGAGACAGCGAGAGAGGGAACACAAGCAGGGGGAGTGGGAGAAGGAGAAGCAGGCTTCCCGCTGAGCAGGGAGCCTGATGCGGGGCTTGATCCCAAGATCCCGGGATCATGACCTGAGCTGAAAGCAGACGCTTAACCCACTGAGCCACCCAGGCGCCCCAGGATTTGCATTTCTAAAATAATTTCAACTTCTGTGGAAAACTGTAAAATAAGTTATTATTCGATCTGGGCAGCTTAAGAACCAGCTATGCACTTTACATAGAGTTCATAGTAGAAAAACTGTACAATTTCCATTAGGGAAAAAGTTACTTGTACGTTAAAAAGAGAGGGAGTCTAAAACAGGAGTCTCCTATGAAAATAGTAAGGGTACACAGAGTTGGTCTGGGGCACCTGGGTGGCTCATTCAGTTAAGTGTCTGCCTTCAGCTCAGGTCATGATCCTGGGGTCCTGGGACGGAGCCCCGCATCGGGCTCCCTGCTCAGTGGGGCGCCTGCTTCTCCCTCTGCCTCTGGTCATGCTCTCTCTCAAATAAATGAATAAAATATTTTTTTTTTTAAAAAGGGTACATGGAATCTATCAAAGCCCAAAGAAGCCTTAGGAGAACAGCTGAAGTTCCGTTACAAAGCTGATACTCTCCCATCAGTAAGGGCTCCTAGGAGTCCCGCCCACTGGAGCTCAGGTGTCCTGTTGAGTAACCGCTGGCCCGCCAGGTAAGATACAGCCTTAAGATGAAAGCCTGCTCATGGTGGTTCCTCTCTGAGGGCAAGGAGAGCACGCCTGCCCTTGGGACATAGAGCAGGTCATGGAGACCAGCCTGGCCGAGGACACACACCTGTGGACAGGTGACCCGTCATCCCTGCATTACCTGTGCTGCTACATGGAGCACTGGCCACGCTCACGAATTCCAGGGCCCGTGAGCAGTGCCCTCCTGAGTACGGGGCCCTTCAAAGAGGAGCTGTGGTCCAGATGCCAAGCATTGTGAGGTCAAGGTCTGAGGGTGGGTGAGGCCACAGGGCAGGTGGGCGCTCTATCAGCAGTCTGGCAGCTGAGGACCCCGCAAAGCTGCACCCTTCCCCTCCTGGTTTTCCAAACTCGCGTTCTTATTTCTCCTCTAGGTTCCCCACTGAGAGCTTGCTGATCGAGAGATGCTGTTGAGAGATGCTGTTTCAGACCGAATCACTTATAAACAGAACCACTTTGGTACCAGACCAACGTGGATCCACGTTCCAGACCAGACTTCAGAGATCGCGTCACCTAAGCAGCGCTGGGGGACTGATGCGGACTTGGGACCCCTTAGCATGGACAAACTGGGGACACGGTGGACAGTGCAAGTCACCCAGACTCCCAACGAAGGGGGGTCCCCTGGGAGGCAATAAGTGTGACCCTCAGGTGGCATTTCCAGCCCTGCAGCCTCCAGAGAAGATGGACGGCGACCCCGACCTGCCAAGACGCCCAAAGCTCAAAGATACCGAGCTCCCGGCCAGCAAGGAGCCGGCTTCAGAACCAAGCCCATCCCGCTGCCCCGTGCAGGCTCCGGGGACAGCTCGGCGTGGCGACCGAAGGGAAAGGATGAGGATGCAACGGTGCCAACACAGAGAAAGCACGTTCCGTCCCAAGTGCCGAAACTGGCTCCTGCCAGCCTCCTCCCCGCCGGCTCTGACTCGGGCATCCAGGATGCTGAGGGCTGGGCAGCTCCCTAAGGGACTGGTACAGGGCGCCCCGATCTCTGGCCGTCTGGGGTGTTATGGAGTACATCCCAAAACCTTCTCCTCCCAGGATCTGAAGGTAAGAGGGTCTCAAGCAGGAAGCCCTGCTCACCGGTTGTCAGCAGAGGCTGTCCTGTTGGAGACGTACGATTCGCACTCATTCCGCCTGTCACGGGACAGCTGGTGCTGCACAGGGAGAACCCAAACGCCTCGGAAGGCACCAGAACCACGCAGTCTGCCGTGAATGCGTGTCGCTCGACGCATTGTGTGTCCCAAGCTCAGGGACCAGGCTGGGGTCCCCTGCTCCTCTCATCCACAAGGAGCGTCACTGGGAAGACCACTGGATCCCACAACAGCAGGCATAACGTAGACCTGGGGTCCTTGTTACGAGCAAACAAGCATCAGGTCAGCCCCACCAGCTGGCAGGACCCCCCAGGTCTGGTCACTGAGTCCCACTCCAAAAAAGCCCACGTCTAATTTGGAATGACTCGTAAGGCATGTGTGTCCTTCTCAAACACACACACAAACAGAGACATTCCCTCACCTTCTTACCTCTAACCTGGAACTTGCGTGTGTCGGTTTAGCTCAGTTAAAGCTTATTTAAGTTTCTCTGTTAAATGTCATCTAACAAATACTGTTTAAAAGTGGAAGCAAGACAGCTCCAGTGCTAGAACCAAGCCACATGAGCCTACCTGCCCCACAGAAACCCCATGGGGGACAGACGGTGGCCCCACAGACGTCTGCGCCAGCCTCATTACACCAAAACCACCCTTGGAGTTATTTTGGTGGGATTTTCTTAAATGCGCCACATTTCGAACAGCCACATCACAGGAGAGATACCTGAGCCGGCAGACAGTGGGAAGGTGGTCAACTTCCTCAGGCCTCAGGGAGATGCAGGCGACAGTGGCCACACAGGCGTCAGGACGAGAAGTCTGGGAGCGCGGCCCCCGTGAGGGCTCCTGCGCGGACACGGCCAGGGTAACCCCCAAACCCAGCAACAGCGTGCGTGTGCGTCCACAGGGACACGGGGAAGTGGGGCGCATCCCGACCCACGGACACACTCAGCAGGAAGGCGTCCACGTGTCCCCAGCCCCGTGCCTAAGTGTCTCTCTCTCAGACACGCATGAATCTCCGGGGGCTTGTGGGGAGTGACAGACGCCACACACGGCTAGCACGTGGGAGCATGCCGCCTTCTACAGAGGCCCAGAGCGCACCAGCTAACCCGGAGCCAGGGCCGCGGCCGGCGTCCTCCGCGACGGTGTCCCCGCTGTGTGCAGACCCCCTGATAGACACTTTAAATGCCGCAGTCGGTATATGTAAACTACACTTCGGTAAAGGTGACTGGACCTCTGTCCTTGCTCAAGTGCAAACCTGGGCCCATTTGTCACCATCTGTTGTACGGTGGCTTTTGTCCCCTAAAATTCATTTGTTGGGCTCCTAACCCCCCCTTCCTCAGCACACAGCCTTCCTCGGGGCGGGGTGGTTGCAGGTACAGTTGGTTCAGCTGCGGTCTCTAGGAGGGCCCTGGTCCGACGGGACTGGTGGTGTCCGTACACAACAGAGACGCAGGGACAGATGTCCCCAAGGAGGACACGGGCCACCTGGCCAGGGAGAGAAGAGGTCTCCGCGCGGAGACGTGGGTCCGCCGTCTGTGTTAGGCAGCTGCGCACACTCACACACCGTGCATGTCCGCCACGGACGGCCACCAAGGGCCACACGGCACTCAGACAAGAGGAGAAGCAAGCTCATCCTGGGGGAAGGTGCCCTCTGTCCAGCCCTGCGCATCCGCAGGCAGATATCGGCTGCCCTGAAATTTGGCTCCAAGCTCCGCATGTGGATTTTATTTCCACAGTCTGGGCTGTTCCGATGGTCCCTGTGCTCTGAAACGCCAAGGGTAGGGCACCCACAAGGAGAAATGTCTTTACAGATCGGACTCCCCACACGTCAGGTCGTGGCCGGCGATGGGGGACATGCTAGTCCCCTTACTTTCTCTGCTGAAAACAAACTGTGAGCGGGGCTGGAGGCCTTCACATCCTCCACACTGCCCCTGGCTTGAGCTAAAAATGCAAACCCGGCGCTCTCCCGCCGCGGGGCAGGCCCACCCCACTTCCGGCCCCTCCTCTGTGCC